CTTAAAGGGTTAGTTCACCCAAAAATGAAAATTCTGTCATTAATTACTCACCCTCATGTCGTTCCACACCCCTAAGACCTTCGTATATCTTCAAAACACAAATTAAGATATTTTTGATCAAATCCGATGGCTCAGAGAGACCTCCATTGACAGCAACGCCACCCAAACTTTCAAGATCCATAAAGGTGCTAAAGACGTCGTTAAAACAGTCGACGTGACTACAGTGGTTTTACAACAATTTTATAAAGCAATGAGAATACTTTTTGCGCAAAAACAAAACAAAAATAATAACTTTATTCAGCAATCTCTTCTCTTCCCTGTCATTATCCTTATGCGGTTAACGCAGTAAGCACAGTGAAGGCTTCCGTGTTCTACGTCCGAACGCCGGCTCATTATTGGTCGAAGCTGCACATGTGAGGAGCGCGACGCATGCGTGTGATGCTGATGCAGGAGCCGTCCAATAATGAGCCGGCGTTCTGACGTAGAACCTGGAAGCGCTGGACGTAAACAACGTATGAGAATGACACAGAAGAGAAGAGGTTGTTGAATAAAGTTGTTATTTTTGTTTTGTTTTTGCGCACAAAAAGTATTCTCGTCGCTTCATAAAATTACTGTAGAACCACTGTAATCACGTCGACTGTTTTAACGACGTCTTTAATACCTTTATGGATCTTGAGAGTTTGGGTGGCGTTGCTGTCATTGGAGGCCTCTCTGAGCTATCGGATTTGATCAAAAATATCTTAATTTGTGTTTTGAAGATATACGAAGGTCTTAGGGGTGTGGAACGACATGAGGGTGAGTAATTAATGACAGAAGTTTCATTTTTGGGTGAACTAACCCTTTAAGGCTTAACACCATCAACGCCGACTATCGCATCAAGCCTGCTAGTATGTGAAATGTTGACTCCATGTTTTCTTCTCAGATCCTGATGATGGTTGGTCTACCTGGTAGTGGAAAAACCACCTGGGCCATAAAACATGCTAAAGAGAACCCTGACAAGAAGTACAACATTCTGGGCACAAATGCTATCATGGATAAAATGAAGGTATGGCTCCTGGACATAATCCCTGTTGTTATGGCAGCTGTGCATGGTAAAACCCACTAGGAAAGTTTGGTTGTCTTTAAAGAACCACCGCTACAGCCATACACATTCAGACAGACATTTTTGGCAAGGCGTGGGCAACTCTGGCCCTTGATGTCTACCGTCCTTCAAAATTTGAACTTATACCTAATCAAACACACCTGTCTGTAATTTTCTAATAATCCTCAAGACCTTGATTGTTCAGGCCACACCCCAGTGAGTCGATTTGAAAACATGTAATTATTCCAATCAAAGTCTGTACACTAAAGTTCATCGTTCTGTTTCAATCAGGTCATGGGACTTCGTCGTCAGCGCAACTATGCCGGACGCTGGGACATCCTTATTCAGCAGGCCACGCAGTGTCTCAACAGGCTCATCCAGATTGCTGCCCGCAAGAAACGCAACTACATCCTGGATCAGGTACTGCCATACTTGCCTTCCTCTGCGCTGTCCTCACAGCTAAAGCCCTTCCCCTTCCTTCTCAACCCTCCCCCCAAAAAAAACACATCCACTTCTGCTCACTGATGCACATGTTCATTAATGCACTTCTGCTCTCTCTGTAGCCTAGTCCAAAGCATTGGTTAGCCTATTGTGCTCCTGAAGACTTGTTTTTCCAGTCCTTATTTCTTTGTCCTGAACATGTTGCTGAATTATGATTTGTTTTGTTTTGCTTAAATGTAAAAAAAAATGAGCAGGGAAAGAATACAGTGTAGTATGTTGTCGCAATGAATATTTTTGACTTTATGTATTGCCTTGTTGTAAAGAGATCTTTGCCACACTGTACAAGTAGTCCATGACATTAGTAAGATGTTGAAAAACAAGTAATCACTGCCTGGTGAGTAAGAAAACGCCTTCTGTTGCTATGGTAACTGTAAAGAAAACGAGAACTTTTCATTAGATAAACTTGGAACTTTACTTGAATGTTGTGTTTAAAAATGAATGGCAGGTAAGTGGAAAAACTAACCTGCTTGAAGTTTACAGGTGGACAGTTCCAGAGGTTGTAAGGTAGGTAAGGTCATGGACATGCTAATGGGTCCCTAAGGAGTCTGTGAGTATAAACGGGTAGGTACTAAATGTTTGTCCGTGTCAGGCACGCTGGTCTATTGAACAACGGGTAAATGAAGGTAAGGAAGGGGACCCAGGCAGTGCATGACATTGAAATACAGAAGTGAGGGTTATTTACATTCTTCAGAAGTTTGAAATGAGTTCCTTGTAGTCAGGGCAATATGTACCAGCAGATAATGTGTTAAAATCTCAGTCATTGATGTTTGGAAGTGGTTGATGTACTTACATTTTAAGCATGACCAAAAGTTTGGTTAGTTTAAAGGGGACGAAGGAGCATCCGGAGGGCTTGCGGCAACCACATGTGACGACCCTGGGCTGGACTCCGCTTCGTCCACGGTAGGGGTTGAACGACTTCTGATTTTTTTAAAGTCGACTTTTTACGTGATGAAAGTCGAGTCGAAGTCGACTAGTCGCTGATGACGTCATTAATGAACAAATAAGTCTGGAGCTGTGAT